AAGTTGGACACACAGGAACAGAGGGGTTGAGGGCCCTGCTCAATGAGCTTACATGCTAGTTGAACCAAGCCCAAGGCCATCAGCCTTCCCCTTTGGTAAGCTCTATTAATTTATGCATGGAGATATCTGACTTACTCTAAAGGTGATTGGCCAAGGGGTTGGCACATTATTACCTTGTAATTGTACATCCTTCATGCAGAATTTTATTGTAGGAATGGGATCGTGAAGCCCCTTGCCATTGTGTTTATGTAGCCGTCACACAGCTCAGAGGAAGGGAGAAAGAGCAAGAAGAAGTGGCTCCATCATTGATTCATTGAATGCCAGGCAGTCTATTATTTTATTTTTATTGTGTTTAAAATTGTTGGCTACATTCAGCTTAAACCTTTTTTATATTATTTTTTCTGTGTTTTTTTGCTCATACTCATGATCGATGAGGTCGGTTCCCAGCTTAGCAGTTAACTTGATTATTTGGCTTTGGCAATATAATTAAAGGAACACTATAGTGTCAGGAATACAAACATATCTTCCTGATACTATAGTGGTAAAATCACTCTTTAGGTACCAGGCCCCCTTTTCTCCCATGCAGTTAGACGTTGTTGGCCCCACCTCACTCCACCTCCGTGGCCAATATCATCAAACTTGATGATCTCAGCCAATCCAATGCTTTCTCACAGGAAAGCATTGGTAAGCCTTTGCACACGCACTGCAAAATGCCATGCTGCACCAATCAGAATCTCCTCGTTGAAATGCAGTGAGTCAGTGCACCTTTATGGGGAATGTTTAGCATCTCTATGCAGAGCCTGGAGATGCTGAATTCCAGTGACACAAGAAGCACCTCTAGTGGTTGTCTGAGTGACTGCCACTTGAGGTGTTACTGGGCAATAATGTAAACACTGCCTTTTCTCTGAGTGTTTACATTAAAAGACCTGCAGGGGTAGGCTATAATAAATAGAACAACTATATTAAGCTGTAGTTGTCCTGGTAGCTATAATGTCCCTTTAATAAGTAACTCAATGTCCAACTAAGAACAGCCATATTGCATTGTTTTTTAAAAAGGAATTACTGAGCTGAATGTTATTTATTATGTTTTCTATATTGAGCTGAAACCTGTCCAATTACTTTTGTTTAAAGGTTGGTTAAATAATTTCACCTTTTTGAATAAACCCCAATGTCATTAATGCAAAAAATAAATAAATAAATGTTTTAATTCAAATTAATAAGTAAGCTTGATTTCTTTCTACTATAATCCATATAAATTACCTTCTGTTACAATCTTTATATAGCAAACTATACATCAATTTCACTTTCGTCTTACAACACTTGACAACTGCTTTCATGGTAAAAGTTACTGTGCGACAGCATCACTCCTTTGTAAACCATTTTCACACATAAAATGCACTATTCAGAATATAACACAGTTAAGGATTACCTGGCAAATAAATGAAATACTATAAATTAAAAGGATTAGTTTCAGAGAGCGAGTACAAATCGTATGTATAGAGTAAGTATGAAATGATGTGTAGCGATTCTTATTCCATATTATGAAAAAGCACACCCACAAACCACAAACTCAATGTATTTCCTGCCACAGAGAGCTTACACAACCTGGATCAGACTCGAGAATCCTTATTTCTATATGAACATTGTTGGTTTTCAGACCAAAACCCAGCTAAGTAAACATTGTTATTAACTGTCTGTTTATATAACTGAAGATGCCACAGTTAAATCCATTAATAAATTGGGTTTTGATGTCATTCAAATTAATATATTTCTAAAATTGGGCTAACTCTGCGTTGACATGAAATAAGTTATTTTATATATAATAACTACTGTAATCCTAAAACAGACTTTAAACTGCTTTGAGATTTTCACATTCTAATATTGCTTTATCCAGATGAACAAGCATGTTACTTAAGTAATTTTTTTTTTTTACATGCATATAATCAACTATATATACCATTATATTTCCCTTAATAGTGCAATATTCATTGCCAGTGCAAGATATTTCAATAGCAAAGACTGCAATTGCAGGAAACTCTTTATTTTTAATAACAGGATTAGGTGAAAGACTTAGAGCCACGTGTTAGTGGGATCAGTATATATCCAGAATTAGTTTGTAGCATCCGACATACTAGATTACTGAAGCTGCTATTACTCCCCAGGAGTGAAGAAAGGATGGGAGATACTGATTGTCGAACATTATCACTACTCAAAACCAAAAATATTGTTTTAATACTGTTTTCATGCTTCCTGGCATCTTTTATCTCTACTCCAAAGCAATCCTAGGTGGGGATCAAATCACCAACGCTGCCATCATAGAGCAGTTAGTCTGCTCTATAATTGTGAGTATATTTTAACTATATTTGTGAGTATATTTTAACTATTTTTATCATGTACATCACTTGTTTTATTGAGAGCACTATTTGTCGCCTTATCTATTTCTCCCTGGCTTCCTGTCATTGTGAACCAAACAGACACCTCCAATATATCTTATATGTGGGGATTATACCACCGCACGTTCTACATACGCTAGAGCCAGCTAAGGCTCTTTAAAATGTGAGTGTGATACTGTCATTTTTTTATTACATAACTAAATTTGACGTATTACACTATTTCTACCCTTTCTGCTTTTGTCTTTCTATATACGTCAACAAGAAAATAAAGACAGCTGCCCTACCCAAAGAAAAGCCCTTGCTGTACTTAGGACTATTATTTGTGAGGACTATCACATTGACTTATTTCTTGTTTGTTCCAAAAATCTATTTATTTTTTATATTGTCTATTGGCGCAGCCCTTTTTTATCTTTTTATTTCTGTATATTCTCTAAAGGGTTGCTGCCTTTTTATGTTTATGAGCACTGATCTATTTTTTGTATTCTATTTAAAACCACTCCACCTAGTATGCAACAACCTAAATATCAATGCTTTCTATTTGTGGCCTGTTACATCATTTTAGAAAAGGTTTTATTTTGGGCAGGCAAATTCAAAGGTCAAGTTGAATTAAATTAGGTAGATGGTAAATTTAAGGCATTATTTACTAACGTGTGAACATTCATGAATTTAAACTGAATTTTACATTTTCGACAGCAATAACTTAAATGAAAATATTCTTCAAGTCAGCTATGTTTTCAGTTTGGCTATTTTGGCCTAAGATTTTAAATTCACTTTGAATTTATTATTAATTCACGCTTCAGTGATTGACCCTGTTAGTGGAACTCCTCTACTATGCCTCTATCGAATTGTCGCAGATTGCCCAATTTCTTTCGTCAAAAGCTTAACGTCTGTAGAACTCCATTAGTGTGGAAATAGTCAAACTCACAAGTCTTCAGACATCTCAGAAGCACAAAGAAGAATTTTCAGCACAAATTACAGAATACACTCACTACAGGAGGACTCTTGAACATCGTACTTCTTTCCAGTTTTGCTCATCTGAAACAGGGACCTCTGGGACCAAAGTATCAATAACAATTGATAGTTTGGGTATTAAAAAGAGACTCCATGGGGGCGGGGCCTGAACCGCAAAATGGTCACAGGTGTCTGCTGATAGCTCCGGCAATCTAGAGCCATTAAACCGAGACAAAGCGCAGAACTCAGCCTGAAAGCCGACACAAAATACACTGCTGAGCACTTACCAGCCAGTGAACCGAGTGCTGGCACTGGCAGACACCGATCTGGCGTGGAACCCCAGGAACCGGAGCTTGCGGCCTACAGGATCTGACAGCACGTCGCTTGGGGGAGGCGGACGCTGTCCCGACTGACTCACAGCGAGCTACAATCAGCCCTGCCACCCCCCTCTCGGACCGGGGGGGATATCCCGGTCCCACTGGGGCAAGCAATACCTCTGCAACAAAGGACCTCTACACCCGATCCTCTTACAGCCACGTGGCGGCGCCAAGATGGCCACCGCACCGCAACAACTCCTAAGCCCAGAGGGCCCAAGCAAACGGGCCTGGAGGGAAAGCTTTAATAGGAGATTTGAGCAGATGTGCCAGAACTTCAGGAATTGACTTGCCAGCCGAACAGCTCTACTAACCCCACCCGCACCTCCGCTCAGCGCAGCCGACATGCCGGCTCTCTGTTCCCCCCATGGACTAGAGGACCGCGCAAAAGCGAGACCACAGCACAGCAACCCACACTCCAGTGGGCTGAGACCCTGGTATCCTGGCCCTTAAGCAGCGCACTCTAATGAGAAGAGAGCGGGCTCTGGCAAGTGGGTCGGCACAGAGGACCACAGAGGAGAGGCAAAACCCAAAAAGCTCACCTGCTCCACACGGCAGCACCCAAGATCAAAAGCTCACAACAGCACGCCCCATCTCAGATCCCCTCTAAGAACGACCGGAATGTCGGCATCAGGGAGGCAAGGGCGGTCTCACACCGGGACTGAGGTCGGCAATGGCCCATACACAGCTCACACATTGGGCTCCTGAACCAAGCTTCCAGAGTTGGCTTGGGATGACTCACATGGACTGCCATAAGGACTAATCATGCTCCGCAGTGCACAGAAGCAGGTTCAGTCCAAAATGCCCGCAGTTGATCTCACTTACGCTACTTAGAGTTAGTTACTCCTACATGAGTCCTAATACTACTTAGCTTTAAGCCTCCTGCCTGTGCCCACTACCTTCACTGGGCCTTTAAACCTCGACTCACCCCCAAAACTGAGTGCTGCAGTATCAGGGTTGTTTCGTTAAACCTGCATGCAAGCCTCAATTAACCAGGCACCCTCTACAGCTCTAGTTTACATTAGCTACACTCTCGCATTCTCCCTATTGTTGCCTCCCCTCTGGAGTGGTGTACCCAGTGGCACCAATACTCAACACTCCTCGACATCACAGCTTACAATCACTCAGTAAAACTCAACTCTCACCACAATTTGAGACTCAGCACACTGTCAGTTGGTATAACTCATCTTAAGCTTGACTTGTGAAAGCCTGTTAATGATATGCTCATATATTGAAGCATGCATATTTTTTGTTTTACTTTATTTTTATACCCGGCCAGTTACCTAGCCTAACCAAAATCCTAGGATTAATACTCCTGGTTGGTACCATATCTTAAATCAACTATAATGTTGTCACTTGACTCAACTTAATTGTAATTAGTCCATCTGAATAATCGTTTGACACATTCTGATCCACCATGCCATTTATATATATAAAAAACAGTGCAATCTTTCCTGCTATTGTATGACATACCACTGCTTTATCTTGCTTTATCCTTTACAATGTTTATTCAAAAATGTATACATAATCCTGCACTGCAAAAATGAAGATTTTTTTTTTTTTTTTTTTAAAGAGACTCCATAATGATGTCATAAAATAATGTATTTTTTTCTTTGTGTGAGCTGAGTGGCTAGTATAGTTATAGCAATAGAGTTATCCTAAACCAAGTAAAATTGCAAAGTTGCTGGAAGTTGAAACACTACAAAATGATTTACATAATAAATACACTGTGACTCCATGTGAATCATATGAGAGAAGACAGCTGTGCTCCATTATTAGCAACCATTTTGAAGGATGCAGTTGTGACCTTCATGCAAGCACATATACCTGTATGTACCTGTACATTTACAGTGGATTTTATCAGCACATTTTTTATGTACAAATAGCAGACACCGACATATTTTGTGGATAACAGATTGCCTTCAAAGACAGCACAAATCTGGTTACTGGTTTGATGCACAGAAGGGTATTAAAACCATAGAGATTATTCTGCAACATTAAATTGTGACGATTTGGAAACTGACTTGAAAAATGTAGACTAAATCAGATAAATTTTAAAAAAAATCATCTCCAGTTGGTCAAGTGTTATTTCTGCTCAATGTCTCAAAGTTAGCCCTATTGGTGGTTTACTCATAAGATTGTCTCTGTTTAAACTGAAAATGTTCATCATTTTGTAGTAGAATCTGTTGACCATATCAGACTGAGTGTATGGACTAGTAGAGCACCTTTCTGGAAAGACATACCGGGTTATTCACAAAGTGAGAATTCACAGTGAATTTTAAATTTAAGGTTAAAAAAGCAAAACTGGAAAAATTCTGTAAGTCAGCTATGCTTTCAGTTTGGTCAGCCCAGCCTTAAATGTTAAATTCACTTTGAATTCTCACTTTTTTGAATAACCCTTATAACACTCTCTGCAGAGAATAGAAGAGAATGTTTCTGAAAAGACTACTAGTAGGCATTGGCAGCAGGTACTGGAAAGGAGTTCTGCATGGACTCTGTTACTCAATTACCATTATTTCTATAGCACCAACATATTCTGAAGCCCCGTTTAATCAGAAACAAGGTAAACATGTAATTCTACCAAAATATGTATGACATACAGGATCAGTAGATGAAGAGGGCCCTGCCCAAACAAGCTTACAATGTAAATTTTCTCTTTACTCGTTTCTGAAAATGACCACAGGTTAGTGGCCCCTGACGAAGATGCATCTTTGTGCACCGGTCCTCTTATATTCGCCTTATGGAGCACTTGAAACACTAATGCACTCACTGGGTGTTTAGCACCTTTTTCTTTTAGATTTGTTTGAGGTGGCTGACTGGAGCTGAGGGATTGATCTAGTAGAGATGAGGTATTAGCATAGAGCACCCATGAAGGTGTTTCTTAGAAGACACAGGGGCTGGTAGCAAGGACATCTAACATCTACGAGTTTTGGCTGCTCTGCATGGATGTTTGCCCCCCTCCTTCCTTCCCCCTGCCTCTATGAGTCTTTCATTAACGGCTGTTTATTTTAGAATATCTCCTAGATTCAGGCTACACCCTCTTTGCCCTCCTGTGTTTATAGTTGTTCTATGATACAACTACTTGGTTCACTGTTTAGTGAACTTCCTTTGACCAACTTATCCTGTCATCTGGTCTCAGCAGCAATTATAAGGCTTGGTTTAGCCATATTACTTACCGTTGCATTCTAAGACTTATATACCAGGATAGGATCTGGTGTTGTTATGTATATAACAACTAATTTTGTTCCCCAGCATTATTTCAATTTGTATCTTATTTTTTCTGTTTTACCTAATATAGTGTTTATCTACTGGATACATTTTGTACAAGTATAGCTGGTAGGATTTGGTTTACTGCCTCACAAGGTTCATCTTTAAGCAAGTTATTTAAGCTGTAAATACTTCATTCTCCCTCCCCCTTTATATATCAGCATTGAGTCCCCCCTTGTGTGGGGTGTATTCACTCTTTGTCTGTACTATCTGTTTTCTACGGTTGCTGTGTAGCTGTGGATTGGGGACCTTAAACAATCCAGGCACCTCACTACATTTATGGCGTGTTGGTTGGATCCAAGTGTTCACAACTACATGTTTTTATGTAGAAAAAGCTATCCCATCCTCTGTATGCAGTATGTACACTTAGTTACTCCCCACCAGCCCATTATGTTCCACTATTATAGAAGGAAAGAGTGTAGAACGTGTAAGAATGGAGACAGGCTATCATTACTGTGCTCTTCAAGTCCAACAAAATACTGAAACGTTAATTAATTATGAAAAATAATATTTTCTAATGTTCTGTTTCCTGTCAATACCTACATACTATCCATTATCACACACAGCAATAGTGTCTTAATGATATCACCTGTCTATCTTCTTTGGAGACTTAGGGTACCCCTGCTCTCTTCTCCAACGTCTGGCTTCATCACTTTGTGTGAGGAGGTAAATAGCTCATTGTATTAACTCTTTGAAACCCAACCTTCCATTAACCCTTTGAAAACCACTGGACAAGCTGTACAAAGCTGTAAAACCTATAAAGAGTTAAGTGCAGTAGCTCAGGAGAGGACAAACACTAATCCCATGATGGTGCCATTTTTACACAGTTATGATGTCTGATCGAAACCTATTCTTTTCATCTACCGCTGATTTATTTCACTGACTAAAACTAAAAAGTCAAGAGTTGAAGGTGAAAGCGCTTTTTGATATAATGCACAGCAGATGAAGTCAATCGATTGACAGACTCATGGCCAAGCGAGTTGGTTTTTTTTTAGCACAGAAACTGGTGTGATATCTGTGGGAGGAAAAGAAGAAAATGAGTTTGCAGAATAATCTTAAAAATAAAAGTTAAACAGGAGGAAAGGTCTCGGAGTAGTTGTGGATTGGGGTAATTAAGGAATTTGGGATGATCCAATCGGGTCACCCTCTCAGATCAGATCAGTGAGTCCCATCAGAAATGCTTTTAAGTGCCCTTTCTCGTCGCTAAAGATGACAACAGCTTATCGATGTGTTTGAAATGAGAGGAGTATGCTGACTAAACCCTGAGACTTCACATTTCACTTGCCCATCTTCACACTTTTTCCTGAACCTCTAGATTCCAAAAGAGAAGTCTGGAGAAGGACACACTTGTTCTGTGTTGAGGTGACTTGCATTCCCCTCTCCATCCCAGGTGAGTGCAGTGACTGTGAGCGAGGCTGCTGTATGTAAGTGAGATGTGAATTTAATTTGGCAACACCTATGGACCACTTTAATGTCCCTATCCTATTAAGAGTTGGCAGGACAAATTAGAAAGAATAGATTGTCTTCTAATTAACCAAATAGATTGATATAATTCAGAAAGGACACATAATAGTTTGAATTATCACTCACCTGTCCTGTTCTTTTTCTTTATAAATATATGTTTGTGTCTGCGTGTAAATATAATCTAAAATGCTACAATTATACATTTGTACAAGTATACATATTATACATGTATAAACCAGAGAGAGAGTGTGTGTGTGTGTGTGTGTATGTGTGTGTGTATTTATTATATATTATATATTATCGATTTCAAAATTGTATATTGCTGTTAATGTTTAATTTGTTGCATTATATAGTGTATTTCACCTATTCACTATTATTGCAATTTATGAATTTTGGGATAAAGGAGAAAAATAGGCAATTATTTTATCCCATGTCACAGGTTGTATAATACTCTACCGGTGGTTTGAGTCTTCCCTGCAATCCTGTGAACGCTGGCTGCTCAGGGGTTAATGTATTTACCCTAGGCTGAAGACGCTCACACACTTGTTCCACAGAACGTTCTATTTCTATTTCACAATTATAATAAAGATAGATTCATCTCCAGCTGTCCTTTGACAGCAAAAGGTCTATAAAGTGAGATAGAATGATATATTAAAGAACAATTAAATATTACTCCAAGTCGGGTGCTTTTGGGTTATATTAGGCAGAGTGCAGCACAAAAGGCAGATAATTTTAATTTATATGCAGATCCATTAAGCTTTTAAAATGTTTTCTTTTTTTCTGAGTGTGATTGTATTTTGGGGATTGCATGGATGGATAACCACGAATGAGCAAATTATTACTACAGGGATGACAATTTCGAACAGCCACCGAATCAATACTGTTTGGAGTTGTTAAACAGATAGCGATTTGTTATTTACATATACCTGCTTGTTGTCAAGTATCTAGTTAGGAAAATGCCTGCTTGGGTACAGATCATAATCCACCATTGATTAATTAAAGTGGAAGTAGTTTCCCCAAAGCACTCACCAAAGATCAAATCTCAGCCTAGAAATGATCGCTGGAAATGCACATTCAGACCTCTGTAGGTAATACTGGATGTGATTCTCTTACACATGGAGATTGTATTTTTTTTAAAAATTTAAAAAAAAACTTCCATTTTAATTGTGGATCTGACAGCTATTACTGCAGATTCTTAAATAGAATCACTTAGAACGATCGAGTGAAAAGAAATGTGTCTGCCAATGTATTTTCTTTAAATGTATGGGTATTTATATTTATTTAATAAATGTTTATTAAACAGGCATAGCTATTTACTATATTTGACATATGTGTCACCCTACATATATATGAAAACCGAAAGATGGACAGATCAGACAAACAGACAGATAGGAGACAGACAGACAGGAGATAGATAGATAGATAGATAGATAGATAGATAGATAGATAGATAGATAGATAGATAGATAGATAGATTGATTTGCTTATATTTCTATGTGTGTTGTAATAAAGGAGTATTTCCTGTGTTTTACTATAATTGGAGCCCTTGTAATGTATGATTAAATTATATCATAATATTCTTTCTGATCTCTGTTTCCAGCCCATTGTCTGTGACAACCTGTGTTCCCCCATTGTGCAGGCCTTGGCTGATCTTACATTGTCCATACTAGAAATGTGAAGCTGCATGGTCTGTGTGCAGGATCATTATATAGTTGGTGTCTTTGTATATTGGCACAGAAATTACTTCAATCCCTGTCTGGTCTCCTGTGTAGTTTGCACAGACCCAAAGCAGCATGTCTAATGCTCAATTCCTTGGTGGTTCGGGGACATTAATTAGTTGTTTAATGGGAGTATGACTAAAAATGTAAAAGAAGGATTAGAAGCGTGAAACGTATGTCCAGCTTGTTCCTCACACTCCAGGAAGGGGTGGAAATCAGGCTGGCTCTTCCCTTTCTTTCTAGGCCATTTCCATTGCTGCCAGCTGCTTACTTCAGCTGCATGTTGTAGTGGGAGCACACTGTTAAATTCAGTATTACTGATCAGTACATAGAGAACTCCATACCTCAATAGCTCTCTGACACTGAACGTTATAACTGTACTGTCATGGTGAGCTTACCCGATATCTAATGATCAGCACTGCTTAACTAACAATTACACTGACTGCTAGCCTTAAACAAACCTGCATACCCCATCCAATATGTATGTATACTGGCGAGTCTCCACCACTGCCCAACATCTTCACCAACTAGTGCCCTCCATACCTCATGCAAGATATATTTACACTGACCAGTGCCCACCACTGCCCAACATCTACACCATCTACTGCCCGCCATACCTCATCCAATATGTATGTATACTGACCAGTGCCCACTACTGTCCAACATCTCCACCAACTAGTGCCCGCCATTCCTCATCCAATATGTATTTGCACTGACCAGTGCCCACCACTGCCCAACATCTACACCAACTAGTGCTTGCCATACCTCATCCAATATCTATTTTCATTGGCTAGTGCCCTCCATACTTCACCCAATATCAGTTCACATTGACTAGTGCCATCCATTCCTTGAGTAATGTATACTTTGGATACTTTTGTTTGCCATATCTCCAGCACTGATTGGATAGTATCACTAGTGTCCTGCAGGCCTTAAACGACTTACAATGACTGTGACTTGTATTCCTGTACTGTGTTCCATGTTAATGTGGACTAATAGAACTGACCAGTGTTTATAATATATTCTAGTTTTAATGAAACACCCACTTATTACTGAAATAGAATTTTTGTTATTATTAGTATTGTTATTATTAGCACCTATATATTGATAATAATAACAACTTGGAATTTCATTTTTTTTTTATTATATTATTTATAAACTCTGGTCAGTTCTTTTTGTCCACTTTGCCTGAGGAATGGACCTCAGAATAGGGATAAAGGCCACAGTCAGTATGAATATTATTTTCTATCTTTATTATTATGATTATTATTATTCATACTACACTGGCCCTTTTGACTTCTTATTTATTTATTTATTACTGGTATTCATAAAGCACCAACAGATTCCGCAGTGCTGTACAATTAGTGGAAAAAGTACAATATACCACCTCTTCTAACTAACATTATTTTGTCTGCCAATCACTTGCCATTATATGTCCCCACTGTATATATGTTGGTGCTATATAATATATATTCTTTTATAAAACTAATCAGAATTTACACTATGGCATGGTGTCCTTATATAGCAATATAGTTGGTAATAAAGTTGGTGTTAGGAAAACACAAACTCATTAAAACACACATTTTTTAACATGATGTACAGCTTTATATCTATTAATCTCCATTGACGTGGGGCAGTCTGTGGACAGCAATTTTCCAACATGTAACATCTAACAGTAACCCTAACTCCAACCCTAGGCTTAGTTTTCACCCTAATCCCCCTAATCCTTGACAATAATTCCTTAACATGTAACTATTCCCTGACATTAACTCTAATACTCCACCCAAAAACCTTTCTACATAGGTATGCCCATTCTACTGCCAACCTACAGAATATGCCAGTTTGCTTTAAATGCCCTACTCTCTGCCCCCTAAACAATGAATTGGAGAAATATGGCATTTGCAAGTTTCCAATTTTAAATTATCAATAGAACTTTAGCTAAATTGAGTGTCCATCATCATGCCTGATTTTAGCAAATACCATTTTAAATTGACCAACTCACAATGATTCACTTTTTGGTGTGCAATCTTTTTGATTCACTTTTTTGTGTGCAATATGTCAGACTAACCAGATATGTACTACAATATCTAAACAATAGCCTACCCCTTTCACTCTATTTGGGGCTTATTTGTCTTCTCTTAGAGCCTCCCTAAGTTAAAATGGTAATCCAGTTGATGGTTTAAATCCATTTGTCTGGGGCAGCTGTATCTCCCTTGCAGAGCAGACCTGCTTTAATTTAAGTTCTGGACTTTCTTCATAGATGGATCAGTCTGATATGGAACTATTGTGGAGTTTTTCTCTAACAGTACAAGTAAGCCAAACACATGCATGACACTTCCTAAAAGGGCATTTTACCATGTTAATATTGTGTCTGTTCTCAGGATGTGTCTCTCACATTCTCTACTCACTGATCAATAAACCTTAGCCAGTTTGGGTTGGCACAAAAAGTCCAGTAACCCTATATATTAAGAGCTCATCTCATTTAGCAAAACGAAAACACAGCAGCAGCTTTTCCAGCAATAAGACAAGGAATACAAACTAGCATTCACAGAGCAGCCACCCCCACTAGGTCATCTGCATTTCCATTCAGTTTTACATCTGGAAAGAGAAAAAAAAAAAGGGAAATAAATTATGCAATATAGATCATTTCAAGAATACTGTGACTTTAAAATCTGCTTTTATATAAAAATGAAATACTTTATGTTTGTTTCAGAAATGTGTTTGCTTAGTGCTTCCAAAGTGCAATATCCCTGTATATGTTGAATACATAATTGGTGTAAGTGTATTTTGTGGGGTACTTATGTCAGCCTATATTTGGGACCTTTGCAGGGCTCCTGATAGTGTCCCAAACCCATACCTGTAGCACCTGCTAAGTATTCTGACATGGAGTACTTACCTGGAGGTCTCCAGTGCCCTGTTATGGGGTTTCAATACATTGCACAGACAATATCAACAGATATAGAATTCCACTATGATAGTACATTTACTGCTGTTTCCCAAAATAATATGTATTTACCCCAAACATTCAACGTTTAATAATATCCTCAGTTGATAGGAAATGTGAAATCCTGTAATCAATGCCTAATAAGATTACATGAGGAATGGGTTGAGAATTATTGATGTATCTCTACTTAATACATTCCCCCAGTGTGAGCAGACAAGGAGCCCACTGTTAGAATGGACATATCTGTCTCTGTGACTTGACAAGCAGTGACCAGGACCTCTAGGCTAAATTGTTGATTAATTCATGTTGATATTAGACCTGCATCAATGTATGCAAACATATACTGCCAGTATACACAACCAGTATATATATATATACACAGATAGCATAGACAGACTCAGAAACCTGTTGATCATTATACATAGCTACAGCCTGATATTAAGTCATATTCAGAAATAAATACAAACTGATATTTCTATCCACATAGCAATGACAGTGATGAGTCTATGGGAAAAGAGAGGAAGAGAACAAGAAAAAAAAGATTGAAATTAAGAAAGAAAGAAGGGGGGAGAGAGATAGCAGATTTTGTTTGTCTTGTCTGTGTGTGTCTGTGTTTCTGTCTTTCTGTCTATCTGTGTCGGTCTGTTGCTACTGAGACATTCCTGAGATAGCTGCAGATCAATCAGATATCTATACTGCAACTGCCTTAGTACAGGAGTCTAGTACATGTACATACAGAGCTGGCTGTAATGTACAGCATTTACTATTAAAACGTGCAATACTTGTATTTATACTATAACAGTAATAATGAATGATTCTTTTTACACAAGCCGTGTAATGTCCTGAGGAACCATTGCTATTTCCTATTCGTATCAAGGCAAAAAATGTATATGTATTAAAATAAACTAACGATTTTTAATCCCTATACCACATATCGATATATCGATATGGCATATATTAAAAGCTTTACACGAACACGCGAACAATATAATTTTAAGAACTTTTATAGGAAAATTACTTTCTAGGTCACTAAGTATGCTTTAAATTAAAATCAAATACTACACTATTCACTAAGGGTCCCATTAAAAAACATTTAGCGCTTTACATAAGACGAAACACATATTAATATATGTATATATGTGTGTATATCTATACACACAGACACGCTGACATTTGAACAGTTAAAAGACATAAGTATTTAAAATTGTTTGAATAATTTTGAAATTATTTAAAATTCTATGTATATTAGCACACACATATATATAACATATATATATATAGCCTAACGTTTATATATTTACTTTTAATCACTAAATTAAATATTTGCAAATGTGTGTCTGATTGTAAATGTCTGTGTCTGAAAGTTTCCAAAATGATTTATTAATGTATATATCACATGGATATAATTTTAGATCATTTTCAGATTAATCGTTGAACGTTGTAACTGGACATTTACATTCCCAATACTGGGATACAATGTTATCCAGTCTGTAACTACCTGTAACATATATTTAAGGAATTGTAAATTTAAAAAACAATATCGAACTGTATGTGCTGAACTGATTGAAGTCCTTTAACTGTGTGTTTGCTGGAGAAACCCCTTAATGAGGTACACCAATAATTTGGATCTTATGCTCTTTTACATTAGAAATAAATGTGGGCTAAAAGGAAATGTTTTATTTCTCCATACTGAAAAAGGACCCTCAGGGAGACTTTACCCCATTCATTCATACAGTCTGTCTGCAACACATTTCAACCTACCCTTGTAAAGAGACTAATCACTGACCTCAGGTGAACCTGTTGGCTGTATTTACAGTAAAGGAAATTCTACACTTAGACTGGCTTTGGGGCTTGTTCTTTACCATTATATGTGTAGTGTATGTGGGTGTGAAACAGGCCAAGACTGACACACACAAAGTCCTATTAACATGACCCCAAACCTCACAGAGGGTCAAGTTCACTACTGAGTGCTCTTCATTAGTCATGGTTACATAGGAAATACTACACCTATATGGTGATCATCTCACCTGGGCATGATGGATAGATATATAGATAGATAGATAGAGAGAGAGAGCAAATTAGAATAACACTATACACTATACAACTCCACTATACAACCAAGCTGCAGATAGCTCGGCGTTTTGGTCTAACTTTTTGATGTTAGCATAATTTACTGCTTAGTGGACAGACCGTATGGTTTAATCACTACACAATATTTCTAATAACTGATATGTACAATTATAACTGTGTGTTTGGGTCAGTCTCTATACTGAGAGAGAGACACAGCAGCTAAATGCTGTTTTATTATTATAGTTAATTAGTCTTCCAATGTTGCTCCAAGCAAGCCATCACTCTTCCCCTGAATAGACTGTACATTGATGGTCTCATTAGATATTACAGGGGGCCTGCATCCTTTTCATTATGTTGCTAATCCCATATCACATCTTGCCTTATTAACATTGTCTGTGTTTTTACTTTCCCATTCTCTCTCCCCCTCTCCTTAATCTGACTTTATCGCGATGTATATCCATTTTCTCTGTCTGTGTCCTGACCCTGTGATCACTTTCTTTCTCTCTCTCTTTCTCTGTCTATCCCTCCCTCTGTTTCTGTGTGTCCCCTGACCCTCTCCTCCCCTCCTGCTCTCTGCTGACTGAGTTTGGTGGAATCTCTGCTGACGTCACACCATTCCCCCTGCAGAAAGAGAGAGGCAGACGCAGCCAGGGAGAGAGACCCATGTACAGACCCCTCACACCTCACTGCCTGCTCGGGGACCCCCACACAGGAGCTTTGGACCTTGCTTTTTGGCTTGTTTACCTGTGGATTCTCATGTTCTGATGCGCGCTTGTTTCTGGGGCCACATCCAGCTTTGCATCCAGGATTTCTTCTCTGGAAGGAAGCAACAGCAGAGCCCATCTGCCATCCCAGTGGGTAATAACTGGTAAGTCCAAGCCCTGCTGCCCCCCATCTCCCAGGTGTGTGATCGGGCAAGGCTAAGGCGCTGCTCCACCTGTGCCTTCATTTTACATGATTTCTTATGGCCATGTTTACTTTCACTTCTAACTGTCCCTGCTGTGTGCCATTAAACTCAGTGCAGTATCACATGGATGGGCAGCCTGGGGCATCTATAGTAACTTCACACCATGACCACTGATAACTGCCACACACAAACCTTTCATATACACAAAATAATGCAGGATTCTGAATAAACCACAGGTCGAGTTACCACTATAGGTGGCTTATCTGTAGGCCATTGCTTTCAGAAGATAGGCCTCCTTATATGTAAATATCTATAATCCTACACTCACACACAGGCTGTATAATTATACATACATGTATGTTTATTTGTGTATTAATATAGTATAATAATAATAATTATATATATATATATATATATATATATATATATATATATATTGTTTTTTTAAATGTATAAAAAAATTGTTAGTGATAATTACTACAAAATATAACGCTATATCTTCATCCAACCATATGGCAAATGTAACTATTGGACTGCTGCATATCTCTACATATTATTGTCATAATAATTATAATAATGCTTATGATTATTATTTGCATCTTCCTCGTTTTGTTTTGCTTTTTAACTTTTTATTATGGATGGCAATATTCTTCGAAACCGTCCACGAGTTTTTGCTCCCTTTTTTAATTTATTTTTTATTTATTTTTTATTTTTGCCTCTATTGCTTTACTAAGAAATGAGTATAAAATAAATATTAGGAGGAATTAGTGCTTATCGTATTTTATGTTGTTTCTTTTTATGTAAGACCTGCAGAGTGTGCTACGTAGTGGCTATTAGCTCAGATGTGTTAGGATGTCAGGCAAGTTTGGTAACAGAGACAAATTCAATCCAGATGGTTTCAGATCTGAAGAGAATTTCACACGATATTGATATGTGTGAAATATTGCTAAATGTGCCCCAGACATACAATTACATATCACTATTTTTTAATGTCGCTGCCCCCTTGGCTCATAAGTGGAGATCTTAAACCATAATGTAAGTGGCTGTATTAGTTATTCCAAATACTCCAAAGACCATAGACAGAAAATGTAAGTTCAGACAGTGAGAGATACAGGATGAACTCCTTTGATTTCAAGCAACATAGCAGCAGGAACTGAAACAGCAATTTCTGTAATTATGGTACAAACATGAAAGCTTCCCTTTAAATCTGTAAGCAGAAAGAAAGGGCTAGTAGCAGACTCTGCTGACAAGCTGGTGGGTCCAATATTTTCCAGAAGTGTTTATATCACAGTTCCATTGTACTGTAAATAGGGCAGGAGGTCTTGTTACTGTGATTGGGTATAACTGCAGTCTAGTCTAACATCTTGTGAAAGAGAAATTCTCACACGTTCAAACGTGACATACTAGACTTCATGGGCTAAAAACAAGTGAGTTTACTATGTAGCCATAAAATTTGGAAAGGGGTAGCATATCTCAAAATCTGATACTTTCAAAAGCATTAAAAATAAGATGTTACAAACTACTGTAGCTCAAAGCACAAATATAATACTTTGTCATTTTGTTTTACCATGTTGATCATTATAGCATGTTGTATATATATATATTTAAAATATATATATTTTTGTATATTTATCAACATGCTAAAACAAAATTACAAAGTGTCATAAATATATACATATCTATCTATTTAAGTCTAGAAGTCCAGATGTCGAAATAATATAATTATATTACAGTATGCAGTGATACTTTTTTATTGGTATATATATATTTTTTTTTCTTTGTTTATATATATATATATATATATATATATATAGATGTATATATAACAAATATATTATATATAATATAATATATATATATATAAATAAAAAAAATAATATTTATAGATTTATTTTTCCATATGTGCGTTTTGTAAAGTAAATACCTAAAAATATGTTAGTTGAGCGATACTCTGCTATTTTGGTTGGTTTTTTTGTGTTTGTTTTTTTTCAAATTTTATTTATCATATTTGTTTTTTTATACGTACATGCTAATAATTTCATTGTAGGCTACAAATTAGCTTCCATAAGAGAATATATGTACAATCATCCATACATTTTTGAAATTATATTATTGTATCATTTAAGTTGACTTAGTGTTTTTTTTTTGTTTTGTGCTTTGCATTTATTAATCTTACATTTTCTGCTGAAGGAACTGTAACAGTATTAAAAAAAAACTAAAATAATAAATACAAATTTAAAAAAAAGTGATTATCTAATAATTAAAATAAATTGAGATACAAAAAACGAAAAGCAATATATGCCTATAGTAAGGATTCTTTATAGTGCTATCATTGTAATAATTGGACTATGGGTCTGGGTCAAAAAAACAGCATCAATTCAGACGTCAACTAATCATTCACCCAGTGCAGACATTAAAAGAAAAAGATTAGCAGATGATGACATGCAAATTTCTACTGAAATTATCATAAGTAAACATTCCAATCCTGGACTAATAAAATCCCATCTGTGTTACTTCATATCGAGTTAGTAGAGAGCTGTGATAATGAATTTTGTAATATCTCACGAACAGACATCTCAATCAGACACTAATCCTATGATTTTACTGCAGAATCACTCAGATCTGGGGCAGCCAAACGTCTGCTCCCTGGCACAGACCTAGAGAGAAAAAAAAAAAGATTTAAAAAAAAAGAAATAAACAAAAAAAAGTTTAAAAAACATTATATACAGGATGAGTACTGGGTTGGGGTGGAAATGAAAACGTCCTGGAGTTGTTATTACCCAAGGGAATGAACTACACACCAATGGACCATACACTTGGTTTAGTCACTTAAAGTTGTCACATCACAATTACTAGACTGCACAATTATTGGCTTCATCTTAATTAAGCTAAATCAACAGCACAGTAAACAGCCAGAGGAAGCTGGGATCTCTCCTCGATTTATTTATAATCAGTGCTATTGCAGGGCCATGCATTTTAAGACAAGACTGAATCTTTTCACTAAAAAGGCAGTTGTGATGAATGATGTCAAAACAAATTCAGGCTACATTGTTTGACTTTATCAAAAAGTGGAGTTTGTATTTCTCATTTGTTTTGATTTGCCCTGAATTTTGCAAATCGGTTCTCATCTCAGCACAACTCATATTTAGTTATAAAACTGTTTGTCTGTGTCTGTATGTTTTGCGTTGTGTATGTGAGTGTTTGTCTGTGATTGTGCCTGTGAGTGTTCTGTGTTTCTGTGCTGTTATGTGTGTTTGTGTGGGTATACATATGTGTGTGTGTGTGTGTGTGTGTGCTTGACTAATGATAGATTTGGGGAGCTGTAATTTTCATGCTCAGACAATGATTAGCGTGGAGTTTCAATCACCTTTTACAGGCCGATATCTCGAAGAGGTGAAACCTCATTAATTAAAATCTAATTTAACAAATGACTCAATGAGTAGTGAAATTTATAGCACTTTCTATAATTAGCTGATGTTTTCCTAGAAGGAAATTACATTAATTAATGATGAGCTGCGCTCAGGAAAAACACATAGAGTTGCAGAAAAAATGTGTATAATAGCAGAATGATAATCACGATTACTGTCATTTTAACTGGGTTTTTTTTTTATCAGCAAACTGCCTGACAACGAAATAATGAATTAATCACTAGCCCTATAGATATAGATCGAATGATAAGTAATATTGTCATTTTTATTATATGATATGTAATATGTTTATCGTTTTACTGACTATTATTATTATTATTATTTTATTATTTATGTAGCGCCATCACATTCCGTAGCGCTGTACATTGGGTGGGCTAACAGACATGTCATTTTAACCAGACAATTGGACGTACAGGAACAGAGAGGTTGAGGGCCCTGCTCAATGAGCTTACATTCTAGATTATAATGGATAGATAGATAGATAGATAGATAGATGCTGAGATATAGGTATATAAATATATATGTAATTTATTTTCTCATAACTTTTTATGGATCACTTGCTTAAGGTAAATATATATAGTGTACTGTAAGCCTAAAAAAAATTTTTTTTTTGAATTTTATATTTATTGTAAACTGACAATAATTCATATAAATTCATATTATACTATACTTGAACTGATGAGTCAATATGAGTCAAACTATGTACTCTCGTTGACTCTTATCATTTTGTTATATTTTGTTACCAGGAAAGATACATGCTGATCTTTATTTGATGTGAGTGGATGTTTATGTCTCTGCTTTGTATATTACAACATTCTATTCGTTTAGAATTCTCAATGTTCTTGTTTGTTCCTCATTGCAGATAACTGGAATACAGAGCGGTATGGAGACTAACTGTCGCAAGCTGGTTGCAGCCTCCTGTGTTCAATTAGGTAAGCACAGTTCCCCATTCTATTGATATTAAGGGCTTGACTCATGGGACTGGGATCTGGTGAATCAGAGTTTCTGTCCCTGGGAACCTGGACAGTCAGCGTTGTGTAAACCCTTCTGTGCTGCATGGAGCCTTTATATCACCCTTACTAATGATTTGCACTGTCGAATCATTTCGCTGAATATTAACAACTTGACAAAAATCTATATCGTAAAAAAATTGTAGGAGGTTTACTATTTCCTTTTTTTTGTTTATATTTTTGTAATACAATTATCATTCAATACAAACAATTTTAGGAACAAACACAATTCTATAATTTCTTTAAAATAAGTAACCCTAAAAGGATTTGGGCATATCCAATTAACGTTTGGGGAATGCTATTCACTAATCAGCGATGATCAAAATGTAGGCTAAAATAGCTAATTGCAGAAACCAAATCTTAATTCAGAGCAGATAGAGATCTTTTTCAAACTCTGTTATTATGGTCTTAATAGTTTAAGGTAATTGCTCATAACTCGCTGTTTACTGAATAGAAACCATTAATGTAAGCCTCATATCTAAATATCCTATTTGGATTTGTATTGAAGAGATACTCAAATGGAACGTCACTATAGGCTGCAACAACTAAAGAGGATTTTTCTGGTGGGGGGCCCAGGGTAGTACGAAGAGGAGACTATATGGCAAATAATTTCATAGTGGGTTAAATATCTTTACACAGATAATAAAATATATTCATATATTTAGACAGAGATGTGCACCTACTAAGTTGTTTTTTTTACTAGATATTTATTTGTGATGAGTCCCACTAAATGTAGTCCATAATAATAATACACATCTTTTATTGTCTCAAATAGGGGGAGGGGAGGGGGGGATTTATAACCAACTGGACTAATTTAACATTCAGTTCTCAGATGACCATAACTCAATCTTTATGGAATAAACACTAAGACAGAGACAGACAAGGAGGAAAACCTTTAGGAAAATAATATCACAACTGTAAGTTTTAAAATGTTGATACATTTGTCAGAAGAATTACACACTGAAGAGGGCCTGCACTCTTACCTGATTTTTTAAAATGTATTTTAATATATTTTTACTGACCACATTATTAATTATTGTTATTTCTATAGTTTTTTGTCAATAATAACTTGATGGTTATTTTATTTATTTATTTTAATTTAAATTTTTGAAGTCAGAGAGGATTTTGATGATTTTATATGGTCCTCGAGCGCCCTCTGCTGCCAGACAAATGCTATAACTCGTTATAAACTTGTCTATTTTGCAGCTAAAATATATCCTGCATTGTGTTCTACAGGTTGCCCACTGTGGCCCATTTCTCTTTTGTTCATTTCACCAAGGTTGCCGTTGCTGAATTAATCAATCATATATCCTGACAGCAGAATAATCCTTATCAAAATCTGTATTAGGATGTTAGTAGTTTGGTTTAAGAATGACGTCACTGTAGGATGTGTGTAATTGTTTATGGTCTCGGGGTCTGCTTACTAAACAATGAGTTTTCGCAGTGGGTAATGTTGGAAAAATATCTAAATTATTTTATTTTTCATTGGTGATGTTTTACCCTAATTTTTTTCCAAGTTAATCCACTGATAACAATTCTCTTTTTGTGAACACATTAATGGTGATTAATCTTCCCTCTGCCATTTGAGCTAGTCTCGATGACTGCTTTAAGCCCACTTTCTTTGCAGGATTTTCTATAGAACTGATCAATATGTCTGTTAGCATGTGACAAGGCTGATGTCACAGTAAAGGGGTGACGAAACCTGCTTGATTCTCAGTGCTGGATCCTATTTATTGGTAACCATAATGAGTTACTGGTATCATATGCTAGTCTGTTCCAGTTAATGTCTGATAAACTAAAGAGCCCATTATAGAAATAAAACATCTGATCACTGTGTAAAGTCATATTTCCATAAACAGTGAGACACCCAGACTAAAATGTTAACAGATTTAAAGCATTGGATATTGTATTCTTTTTACACATATATGTGTGGATAGTGTATTATAGTTAAACGTATATATATTATGTTATTAGGCCATATCTTTATTACATTCTGTTTTATTTTATTTATAGAACTAAATCCTGCAATGTTTATGTGTTGTTGTTTTTTTTCCTTTGTAAGTTTATATTTTGTCATAAATCATATTGTTATTTACACCTAATTAAACATGGCTGCATTTTGTTATTAGTCTTTGTTATAAAAAAAAAAAACGGTCCTATAATTCCTAAACATTAGGGAAAGGGGTTACATATATAGTCTACACTAGTGAACAGTAACCCCAGCAGCCAACATGATTGCCAACTACAATTCCAATGATGCTCACATAATTGTAGATGTAGATAAGAAATTCTAGGTTCCCTGATTAGTCATTTACTTATCTGTCATCCATTTAACCCTTTCATTGATGTGCCTCCATGCACTCTAACTGATACAAATGTCTTTTCACATTGTCCAATATTTCCATGGACAGGTGGTCTTAATCAAAGTGCATTGCTATACAGAGATGCCATGATTGCACTTTCAATAAATTTATGGGAGCCCAGCAGGAAAGTCTTATCAGGCTAATATTGTTGAACGTGAGATTGCATTAGGCTACATGACATGCTGGGTTTGGTTTTTCCATATGGGGAAACGAATGATGATTTTCTGAGCTGTACATTACTGGGAAGGATTATTGTAATTCATGTAAAATTTCCTGTGCATTAAAAGAGTTAAGTTGTCTAGATTTTGTAATAAATGGAAAGATATACATAAATTACCCAGCATTTATAAAACCAAATTCTACATTTAGAAAAAAATTTCGTTTGGGTAAACGTCGAATTTTATATTGTGAAAATATGCAGATATCATTATTATTATTATATTATTATTTTTTATTTTTATATAATTATTATTATATTATTCTTTAATGCACATGTTAAGAGCATGCATGGATTAATAATGTATGTAGCTGGTTTAAATGATCTTATATTCTATGATTTAAATAAACTATTATTTTATTTATATAATCATACCCTAACCCTCATTCCACTTAATCCTGTCTGACAAAGCAATTTATTACATCATCACCCAATACGTCTATTCACTAAACAGTGAATTGAGTTAAATTGGCAATTGATTCTATTTTAGACCAAATAATTTCGTTAGAAAACAAATATCGCATTTATTTGAGTTGATTTTTTTCTAACTCCGCTGCAAAAAAACAAACCAAAAATATATAAACAAAGAAAAAAAAACTGTCAATTTGTTACAACTCATTGTTTTGTAAAGAAAAGTGTCTTATTGAGAGATAGTTTACTATTTACCATTCGTTCTGGTTTTAACTGCCAGTCCACAATAATTTGACAATAAAAAACGCACGTTTTTAGGCTTACATTATTAATATATATTTTTAAAATTGAATAAAGTATAATGTTATAGCTTAAGCAAGTCTCTCGATCAAAGAAGTTATGAGCTAAGGAATAATGTGTGTGTGTGTGTGTGTGTGTGTGTGTGTGTGTGTGTGTGTGTGTGTGTGTGTGTGTGTGTGTGTGTGTGTGTGTGTGTGTGTGTGTACAAATTAATTTCCTGCATTTATATATTACAAAGTAATGGTGTATTTGCGTTTATATATATATAGTTCTAAACCACAAAATATCATTTTTCTTTGTGAAATTTCACAAAGCTTTCGAAAAAAATAAAAAAATACTAATAAAAAATAAATTAATAAAATCGTTCTAATTAGAATGAACACCATAATGTATCAGCACAGCCCTGTCTGTAAGTTTCTTATGAAAGCTGTGTTTTGTTAGGGTATTTTTTTTCCCTTGCTTCTTCATAATATATGCAAGAGTTGCTGAAATATCTCGGGGGAGCATGAAATGTGTAAGTAAAGCGTTTTTTCGTGAGCAGGAATATACTAATGGAACAATCTGATGTCTACTTAATCCTATGTAGAAAGCATTGTCTTATGCCTAATATTGACTGAATTGTAATTAATGGCTCTCCATCTAGGAGAATAGCCAGTAATAATATATGGAAGTCAGAGAGACAGCAGACTAGTCCTCCATCCGATGCAATCCATCTATTATGGGAATACGACTCCCATCACCAGGAAGCAACTGATGCTGATGAACAGCAGCACAAACTACTCATCTTGTCACAACACACAATGTGTCTACAAACTCTGCTAGCTAAAAATCCCATACAAGTAGCCAAACCAGCTTTAGTGTTAAAGGGGGCTTAAAAATCAGAAAATATATTATCACATATTTTTGTCGCCTTCTGGTTTATTTAAATATATCCTCATAACTCCATAGCAAATATTCAATTATACAGAGCAATGAGAGAAATGGCAGACAGCCCAAAAGGGCTGCACCTGTATTTACTTTGTGGGACTCCTTATAGAACACAGAGAATTTAGCTGTACCTGTACACAAAGGCCACACACTTTGTAGGTGTGTGTGTGTACCCTGAGCTGAACTGGGGGAAGGGAGTGCAGAGCAGGATTCAATGTATTGTTTTATTATTAGTCAGTGTAGGGTTATAGTCATTCTAATATTAACTGTTATTTTAGTTATAACTGTGTTTGGGAGGACAGTTTCAAAAAAGGATTTCGTGTAAGAAGTACAATTATTGTTAAGAAAATCGATCATCGTGTAGAAATGCCCTGTGTTTTATTAAGTTATTTATTTATGTCTTTATTTTTTTACATGCTCTTTGTGAAAAAAAATAAAATAAATCTGAATATGGCGTGCACAGCAAGCACACAAAGAAATACAATGAGTGATATGGGGTAATGAAAAAAAAAAAAAGGGGGAAATCGCAGCATTGTGTTAGTTTTAAGAAACCGATTGCAGAATATTTTATTTAACAAAATATTACGGGGGAAAAGTGCATAAAAATAATGTTTATGTTAGATTACACTAAAAATGATAAATAATGACATTAACGTTATTACATTGTTTCAAAGCACATTTTATATATTTGGGATAGATGGATAGATGGATAGATAGATAGATAGATAGATAGATAGATAGATAGATAGATAGATAGATAGATAGATAGATAGATAGATAGATAGACAGACAGACAGGTGGAATGTATTGTTTATTTCAATTACAATACTTTCAGAAATATAAATATTGCCAAACACCGAAATTTTCTTTTCATTCATTTGTTACGATTTCTGGCTCAACAAACAGAGGTTTCAAATATCCAGGTATATTTGTGTAAATCCGTGTGTGTGATTGTGATTACTGTGTGTATGTTGACTAAATGTATGTGTATGTATTCCTCGGGGTGTATGTGGGAAAGTACCTTTGTGTGTATGTGTTTGTTTTTTTATATTATCTATGTCGATTTTTTTCTATTTTTGTGTATATGTAGGTGTGGGCCTGTGTTCGAGTGTACTTAGGTAGCTGTAGGTATTCTGACCGAATATACAACAATGCCAGCAAAGTTAATACCTTTCAAAAGTGTTTTGTATAATATTAATACGGTTCTATACTATGATTAACACATTGTGTATGAATTTTCTGTAGTTGGTATTTTCTTGTTTATAAAATATTTTAGCAGAAAGGATACATTGAGAGTATGTCTTGGAGTAATTAGTTGCTTCACGAATCTAATAATATTTCATTGTATTTCTGAATCTGTAAAATCACGTAGTAAATCATTATATGGTGAAATCAAATAGAAAATCGTGCATCCCATCATACTTTTTACGTTCATTGCAACATTTATTGGCATTTAAAAACCTACCCATTCATGTTTATGAAGTCATTTTTTATATTTTGATTTATTACTCAATATATAAAATGAATGATTATCAATACACACACATTTAAATATACATATATAATTGCTGCAATATACAACCACTTTTTCCTACGAATAAAATACATTGTCATTACAGTATTGACTGCTGGTCCCATTATAATAAACCGAATAGTCATTAATTGTGAGTGAGCTGTGGCTTTGCTACACTGACAGGCAGGCTGGGATGTCACCCATGGCACTAAGTGACAATAGAAGGTTGTTTGTTTGTTTGTTTTTTTCATTGTTAATGTCTATTCCTATGGCATGTGTAAGCCTAATGCAGATGCATGCAGTAAATCATACATGTAACATGTCACATCTCAAATAGGCTCAACGTAAGGGTGCTTCCCTGTGAGAATAACCGGATACATTAATGGCAGACACCACGAGAGATCAGCCAGTGCCATCTATTGTCTGTACCAGCTATCTGTTTATCGTGTGAGTGTGTGTGCGTGTGTGTGTGTGTGTGTGTGTGTGTGTGTGTGTGTCTGTGTCTGTCTGTGTGAGTGTGTGTGTGTGTAGCGTGAAGGCAAAGGAAGTAATATTAAAAAGGAGAGGCACCGAGAGATACATGAGAAAGAGAAGGAGAGGTAAATGCGAGAGAGAGAATTAAGAGGAAAGAAATGGAAAGGAATGAAGTGAAAATAGTGAAAAATAGAGTGAGGTGGAAAAAAGAAAATAAGGCTATTTTAATACTGATTCCAGAGTGATTCCGCAATATGTATGTGTTTATATCTAGTTATATATAAGAGAATGTAAACATGCACAAAACAGACTTTTATTTATGGCATTTATATTGCAACCCTATGACTTGACTTACAGACATTCGGCTGCCATAATGAAGGTACCCTGTATTCGGTGTTTGAATGCTGGAGTAAGTGATAGCTCACTCAGAGTGCTAGTGACACTGATTCTGATGGTATGTTTCAAGAGATACAGTTATTCTCATAGTATGTTTTTAGAGATACAGTGATTCTGGTGACATGTTTCTAGAGTCTAGAGATACAGTGATTCTAATGGTATGTTTCTAGAGATACAGTTATTCTTATAGTATGTTTTTAGAGATACAGTGATTCTGATGGATTATTTTTAGAGATACAGTGATTCTGGTGATATGTTTCTAGAGATACAGTGATTCTAATGGTATGTTTCTAGAGATACAATTATTCTCATAGTATGTTTCTAGAGATAGATACCGTGATTGTGATGATATGTTTCTAGAGCTACCGTGATTCTGGGGATATGTTTCTAGTATGTTTCTAGAGATATAGTGATTCTGATGGTATGTTTCTAGAGATACAGTTGCTAGCAGACATGTAGCTGACCCAGCATGTGATGTGGCTCACACGGCCCAGATGTGTGTGCTGTTATTGCAGACAGGTTGAGATTGGGTCAGCTTCACCCATCATATCAATGCCTATCATGTATTATTAACTGTGAACTATAAGATACAATAATTGGGGATATTTCCATTAAACGAAGAGTCGTTGTGAGGTTTAAACCGAATTGCTAAATTCCAACAAAAATTGTCGAATTTAAGTATATATGCGTATTTTTAATTTACTGTTAATTTATTAAAAAAAAAATTTGAACATTCATATTGAAATCACTAATGAGTGTACTGTGATTGCACGAAATAAGGTGATGACTCAATTGGCCCTGGAGCTGTAGTTGAGCTAAGCTGAGGATAATAGGTTGAGTGTGATAGGAGTTTTAATCCAACGAAAGCCATAGGGCTAGCACATCCCCATCCCTTCAATCTGGCCAGATCATTTTAACATTCGATTCATCACAGATATCCTTTATCCTATACACCTAGGCTAATGCTCTTAAAATAGGAGTGTCAGATTTCCCATTTAATATCCCCACCGATCATACCGCTGTCCGAGGAGCAGATACAGTTAATGAACAAATAGATTTTACCTTTGATCCAGATTCATATTGACACAGTTATGGGTCGTCAACTGCTGTGCAAAAAGAAAGAAGGCATAAAATGGTGGAAATATTTACTTTACACCATATAGTTTATGATCTGGTGGGAATTAGAGGCAATTCAATAAGAAAAAGGCTAGGGCCAGTCTAAACCCCTATTTAAAAGACTTAAGCAAATTAGAGTCTTATCAGATTAAAAAGCACTACAAATGTAAGAGCATTGTCTCTATCGAAACGCTGTGGGGTCTGAGGAAAAGATTCTGTGCCAGATTTCAGGGATAACAACGTACCCGTCTAAACATCAGATAATGAACTGAATCCAAATTAATTGAAGGTAATTCTATTTATGAATCTGAAGCTGCAAAATCATTCACTGCAGAGCAAAAAAAAAGAGAGAGAATGAGAGAGAGATAGATAGATAGATAGATAGATAGATAGATTGATAGACAGATAGATAGATAGATAGATAGATAGATAGATAGATAGATAGATAGATAGATAGATAGACCGATATGCAGGTTGGTTTTACTATTGATATTACCTTAGTATCATATTTTTAGGTTTTGGGGGGTTTTTTTGGGGGGGGGGGACAGTAAATTACAAATATCCTGCGAATTACATTTATATGTTTTATGGGACTGTCAGAATTAATTGTTTGTCTCGCATGATGTACATACAAGGGATATAACGTAAAGAAAAATATATGTTGTATATAAAAGGTGGAGAATTCTTCAGCTGGGTTGTACGCATAAAATTGTCACAATCTATAAAAACTTGGAAGGCTGCCCCTGTCTTGACATGGATGTCTAAATACACAAACTTAATGTGAAAAAGGTCAGATACCGAGCTATCAGGAGAAAAAATGTTCTTCTGATTTCGATGAATTCTTAACCTGTTTAATGTCTGTGTTTATGGGACCTTAAACCTGTCACACGGTCATAAATGTTAGGAAACATCCATAGGCATGTTAGGGTATTAGTGTTTGCCTTAATATAGAAATATAAAATTGTAATAGGATGTCTAAAAGATAACAAATAAAATAATCTTATACTAGTATAAATGTCATACAGCAGCACAGTATAGTTTTTAAATCAATTTTGAAAGCATTAGTTATAACAAATAAAACCACAAGATAACAGATTATATTTTATTAGAGGCACAATATTCGATGCTTTCAAAACCTTTCCTTAAAAAAAAATAAAAAAAATTATATATATATATATATACTAAAAGTCAATGTACTAATAAAAAAATGTCATAAAGTCTAATAAGCAAACAATAGTAAAAAGTATGATCTTCGTTGTTCTGTATTATTTTATCGGAGTTCTCTGGCCATAACCCCTCTCGAATCTCCCGTTGGATGAGAGTATTTTTTGATAGATATTGCATGGAGAGGACATACTTCAGGACTTGCCCCTCCAATTGCCCATTGGAAGCTATAATTACTGCGGCTCCGCCCACCTTCGGCTCGTCACAGAGTAGCGGCCAGAGGCAGCCTGTGATTGGTCGGAACGCGCGCTGGCGGGGCGTTCTGCTGAGGGGCGGCGGAGAAGGAGCGCCCTAGGGTGACGTCACTAGGCTAGAGAGGACAACTCTCTGGTTTTTAAGATGTTAGTCAAACAGGGAAGCGGCTGAGCCCATCGCTGAATCTCCACTGTGACTTGTGAAAGTCCAGTCCTGTGTTGCTAGACTTAGTGAATGGGAGCATTAGCTTTATTTTTTATTTTTTTATTTGATAAATCCTGTGTGTGAGCCAAGGAGGAAGTGTCAGGCAACTGGATACTGACAAGTCTCAGCCTTATCCCTAATGCCTACCCCCAGGTCCACCATGCATTTCCTGCTAGCTCAGTAGAGGGATCATTCTGCATTCTTCATCATTCTTGATAAAGAGAGACCACTGCCTGTAACAGAGAGGAGGTATTAGAAAGTCCTAGCAGTATAAAGACTTCAGTGGACTAAACAGGACTTACATGTAAGGCTCCTTAAGCCTGCACTTAACAAGTGACTTGCTGACACTATTTCCCCCTAGCCTCATTACTCTTGTAGCATGTTGGACACACAGTGGAACTGAATTGCTTTGCAAGCTACAGAGGACTTCTCCCCTATCCTGCCTCTCTTTGTAATCTCAGCACGTTTTGCATCTCCCTTGGATAATTCTTCTTGGAAGTCTGCTCTGCTATACATCATCATCGATGAACTATATGAAAGACCCTTTGCATTTGGATCATTTGACCGGGAGTAAACGGGTTACGGCTCCTTCCCACCATCATCACCACCATCACACTCACCAGTCGGTGGCTCTTGTTTCAATGGCTTCTACCTTGGGGCAGCAGCGCTCAGGGGAGTGTAAGCAGAGACTGGAGGTTCATACTATTTCAGACACCTCCAGCCCTGAGGCCACAGGTAAGAGAGATGGCCCTAAGCAACACCTCACTCACAACTGTCAGAGCCACCTATACGGCTCTTTTTTTTTACTGTCAGATGGAGGAGGCAGCCTGCATTATCCTCTGAGAGAAATCTGCACTACATTGTCAGAGCAGCTTGCATTACACACTCTGCAGCCTGCATGAGACACTGTGTGCAGCCTGTATTACCCACTCAGAACAGCTTGCATTACACAGTGTGCAGCCTGCATTACACTTTGTCTGCAACATGCATTAAACCCTGTCTGTAGCATGCATGATACATTCTGCAGGCTGCATTATGTACTGTGCGCAGCCTGCATGGCACACTGTGAGCAGCCTGAATGAGACACTGCAAGCAGCCTGCATTATACAATTTAAATGTCCCTGCATAGGGAAGCTTTCCTGAAATATATTAAACTTGCATCTCACCTTGAGCACCTTGTACAAACTTACCAGTGAACAAATGAAAACAGCACAAATGAATGTGACTTATATGTATTATATGGAAGGCCGAATGCAAATATTAGTAACTGTGTGCTTTTATTTTTAAACTGCGTGCATAATCAGTTATAGTGCTGTGTTTGTATAATCTGCAATCATAATGTCATTCTGAACTACACTAGATAAATACACTACGCATATCGTGGATAACAAACAAAAATAAATAATAGAAAATGCTTTACTTTTACAACTTTAAACATATCTCGCTATTAATTCGTCTATGTCCAATCATCTTACACAGATTACACAGTTCCGCATGTATAACAAGTGTCAGAGAAGTGTTATGTTTCAACCTTTATTCGATTACCTTAAGTCAATGTGTCACCATCTTTATCTTAATTTCCTTCTGCATGAAATATCGTAAATAATAATAATAATAACAATAATAATAATAAAAAATGGGATGTAACATTTTACAGGTTAGAGAATCCGCCCATCGCTCTCTACAATTAGTTTCTTGTATTCATTGAAGCTGAACCTGTGCTCTGATAGGATTTAATAGGTAGCTTTGCTACGTGTAATTTGTCATATATAATGAGCCAATTATTGTTTTTACTCATCATGAAAGCAGACTCATCTGGAATACCTCTGGCCATCTTGTAAGAAGAATTCTATTCACTAAACAGTCAGTTTTTGGTAACTTGACAAAATATTTGCAAAACTATGGCCAAATACAACACCGACAGGGTTAACTTGAAAGTGTGGATTGTCTAGAATTGTAAAAGTATTCAAATTGAATGTAACATTTTAGACCAGGTGCAGATCAGATTAAATATCCCAAATTCATCTTGGATTAACTTGAATTCCAACCCTTTGTGGATAACTCTTTAAGCAGCGAAATCTAGTAAACTGAAAATTAAATTGCAGAATATAGAGAAACGGTGTTTAGTATATAACACTCTCCCCACAAAAAATCGCCAACTCCGTAGTGTAAGATATTTTTTGTTTGTTTATTTTTTTTAATTTTCAAATGATCACAAACTAAAAAATATAATTCCCATGGATCTACTTTAACCAAACGAGCTACCTCTGATAATTTTACAACCAGCATGAGTGCTTAAAGTAGTCTCATAAAATCTATATAATAAAAAAATAATAAAAAAAAACAGCTAAAAAGCAGTTTATAAGAATAATGTTAGATTTTTTTCTACCTAGCAATTATATAGTAAATGTTGCAAGTCCTTTCTCATCTCCCCACAAATGGCTGTTTAGTAGAAAAACTCCAGAGTTTTGGAGCTGGGCTGTGGATAATTAGCCGAATAATTAGCCGAAATAAATTAAGAAGGATTAGTTATCTACAATAAACACATCAAAATGGCTGTAGCAAAATGAAAGCAGGAGAACCAACTTGTAAATCGGTTTATATTACTCCGTGGAAGGACAGGGGGCAAAGTATAAGTGCATATGCAAACCTGGTGTAAAGATACTATTCTTAATAAAACAAACCAGTTAAGCTAAACGTGTTTGGTTACCATTGTGATGCATAAATCAGTTGTATAGGTCTGATCCAATAGGACATCCATTTAACCTTAAGCCACAGTTATGACAGATTTTGCCATAAAAAAAACATTATCATATATTGAATATTGAATATTCCAGATTAAACTTTGAAAAAATATCTTTAGAAAATTATGTCGATTATATTTAAAATGTTTCTGTAAGACAAATTTGTTACATTTTTATATCATATTTTGTGGGGATGATGTGCATAAGAATTTTATAGAAAAAATATAAGGGAAATTTCTGTTCTGCATTCACACAGATAAAGACAAGAATCACACAAGTAAAAACGAGGACAGCAGCGCAGATGACCCCTCCAAAAAGAAGAGGCAGCGCAGACAGAGGACACATTTTACCAGCCAACAATTGCAGGAGTTAGAGGCCACTTTTCAGAGAAACCGCTACCCAGACATGTCCACCAGGGAGGAAATAGCTGTGTGGACCAACCTCACGGAGGCAAGAGTCAGGGTAAGTACGACTACCATCACAGCAAAATAAAAAAAATATAAAAAATATCACGCTGTCTCCAATAATAAGGAAAACACACAAAACATTAATTTTTTATTCTTGAAGCAACACATATATTTATTTATTAACTTATTTGTTTTTCAAGGTTATTTGATCGGAAAATGAGTGGTGAGAGGGAATAAATTAAAAAGAACTCAAAATCATTTCAATAAAATAGAAATAAGTATAAATTCCTAGTACAAATATAAACACACGATAGATGGAAGTTACTAGCGTGCTAAAACGTAAATATAAAAAGTCCCATAGTAAATATACTAAAAAGTATGATGAACACATTATTGAAAATTACATTTACTTTCTATATATAATACATAGGACCATGTTGTTTTCCATGTTTATATATATATATATATATATATATATATATATATATATATATATATATATATATATATATATATATATATGTATATATATATATATAGATATATAGATATATAGATATAGATATACACACACACACAAACACGATCTTGTGTATTTAATTTATTATCTGCGCATGTGTTCAATGCAACAGCTAGCTAGCAGTGTATTAATAAAACACTTTCTGCTCAAGATAAATCGCTTTATTTACATCACCCATCTGTGTTAAACTGCAGTTTCATTTTCACTGCCACTCTGAATAAACAATACCAAGCATTCTCAATGTAAAAAAAGAAAGCGTAATAATAATAATTCAGCTAGTAATATTGTTATAAGGACACATGGGCGAAAATAAAAATGAGACCCGTGTTAAAGGCAGAGTTCGCGAATTCATAGCGCATTAATCCCGTTTTATATACTGCGGCTGCTGTGTTTCTAAACATCTGGGGGACAAGTGGAATTAAGTTCATAATTATGCCATACTGCAGCATGTAAAATGTCTTTAAATTGTCTCTGGGGAAAATCTATGGGGATTGTTTTGACCATATGTGATAACTGAATTTTACTGCTTGAAGCTGATATTTGCACTGGAACACATGTTCAAAGGAGGGATATCACTGTGTCTGGTAAATGATATTGCAGTAAAGCTAGACTCACTCTAAATTATACTGAACAAAACCCTAGTTTTGGGTTAACACAATCTCTGCTAGATAAGATTTATTATGGACACCTAAATTGGGACTTGGGAAGAAAAACAAAACAGCCTTGAACACAATTTGTAAAGTTTATGAGATTGGCTGGAGGGGGTCATTTGTCTCAGGGACAAGTTGTGTTCGCAAATATTAACACAGCAAAGACAGAGAGAAGTTGTAAAAATGAAGACACAGGTAAACATATACATCTACAATCCTTTTCAAGTTAACTGTTAGTTAAACTTGGAGTCACCCCTAATAAAGAGGAAAAAAAAAACCAATAACAATAGTTAATTATGCCCAATCACCAATGTTTTAATAATAATTTAATTTAACAAATTCTTGTAAAAAACATAATGTATTTGTGTGTGTGTGTGTGTGTATGTATAAAATGTATAAATATGTGTGTGTGTATGTGTGTATAAAATGTATAAATATACATACACACACACACACACACGTGTATGTGTGTATGTATATATGTGTGTGTGCGTGTGTTAATTAATAATCCCCAATCATCAATGTTTTAATAATAATTACATTTAATAAAGTCTTGTAAGAACCATAACGTGTGTGTATATTTCCACATACATACACATTATGGTATATATATGTATATAGCTTAATGTGTGCGTGTGCAGACCTTTAAGTACCTTGGATTACTAGTTAATTTAAAAAGGATAAAAAAAACAACAGCAATTAAGGTAATGCTAATTACAGTGTCCAGCAAGCCCAGCAACTCAGTTTAATCCTGAAACATGAAAACCTTTCATTAGTGGAGCCAAATCAGGCATTTTATCAGGGCCTTGGTGAAGGTATCTGCAGAGCTCAAATTAGCAACATTTTGGGAATCCTATGGGGTGCTGCCTTATGTGCTTCTTGTCAATGGAGTGAGAGGGATTAATGGTACAGTTAACACAGCGATCTGTAATGTACAACATGATTTGTGTAAACAAGGGAGACCCAGGGACTGCTCCAATACACAAACTCTCCCTGCAGGGGGTGATTGTCAATTCAGACACCCAGATGTGTATTGGAGGTGATTGGAGATTGATCCACATTTTTTCATTGTCTGGAAGGAGGGACTAAGTATCTAATTTAGCACATAGTTAAATGGCAAGTCTTTCCAACGAGCCAGAGGGAACAAGTTGGGTCAGAAAATGCCTTTCAGTCACTGCAGATTAGTGCCGGAGAGGCTCTCCAGAGATTTCTTATGTAGATACATTTGTTACAATATTGTGCGTGAAAACCAACTTGCTACAAATGCAGCAGCAGATATGCAATCCTAGCCAGACACATTTACAATGTACTGCACATGATCACCCAGCAGGCAATATGCAATATTAATAAATTATAAAAATCAGCTTAAGCAATTGTTCCTATATTTACTGGTATTTAAATCTCTATTTTTATACAATAGCAGTCTCACTAACTTTTTCTCTCTGTGTGTACATGTGTATAAATATTGACTGGATATAGAAATAGTTCATTTGCAACTAAAGTATTTGACGCAGAATTATTTGACAGATTGCTTTATTTTCATTATTATTTATACAGACCCCACAATGTCATTTATTCAGTGCACCATGCACATGTAATCTAGGGACAGGGAAGAGAGTGAGGCGTTTTTGCAAACCCACCTTTGACTTTGATATTATGAGATACAGCTCTCCTCTGCTGGCTGGGCGTTGTGTGAGTGGTGCTGTATAGCTTTGTTTTCTAACACTGGGGGTCTGATACACCAATGCTCATCTTGATTCTGTCCTTTTCCTGCAGGTGTGGTTCAAGAACCGCAGAGCCAAGTGGAGGAAGAGAGAGAGGAACCAGCAGGCAGAGCTGTGTAAGAATGGCTTTGGCCCTCAGTTTAATGGGCTCATGCAGCCTTATGATGACATGTACCCAGGCTACTCCTACAACAACTGGGCAGCCAAGGGCCTGACCTCGGCCTCCCTGTCTACCAAGAGCTTCCCTTTCTTCAACTCCATGAATGTTAACCCACTGTCCTCACAAAGCATGTTTTCCTCACCCAACTCCATCTCTTCCATGAGCATGTCTTCCAGCATGGTGCCCTCTGCAGTCACTGGAGTGCCAGGCTCCAGCCTCAACAGCTTAAATAACCTCAACAACTTGAGCAACCCCTCTCTGAATTCAGCCGTGCCAACTTCAGCTTGCCCTTATGCCCCTCCAACACCGCCCTATGTCTACAGGGACACATGTAACTCCAGCCTGGCAAGCCTTAGACTTAAAGCAAAACAGCACTCTAGTTTTGGATATGCCACTGTTCAAAATCCAGGATCCAATTTAAGTGCGTGCCAGTATGCCGTGGACAGACCCGTGTGATATAAATACGTATCATATATAAATATATAAATATAAATACATGCATATACATACTATATGGGAAACTCCTTCTCCTGAGACTGAAACATTGAATAAAGAATTGTCTGAGCACTAAATATGAGAGGGAAAGTCTGAACCTCAAAAATCAGATGGTTCTTTTGTTTTCAAAGGAGTCCATGCAGAGATATCTTTGAAAGTATTACCAACAGACACAGGACATTGAAAAAAAAATTATATATATGGACACATATTTGACTGGATGTTACTACAAGCTTGTTATTTTTTTTTTATGTTTAGCAATGTTAAAAAAGGACTGAAAGGATGTATATATTGAAATGTCAAATTAATTTTATAAAAACAGTTGATAGTACACTTTACAGTGTTAAACGCATTAGGCTTTACCATAAAGCATGTAATGAAAGCGAATGGGCCTGTCCTTTTCGTTTGCAAGCATTGGGAATGTAAATAAATAAAATTCAACACTGTATTTCTGGTCTATTAGACACATTGTGACTTCAGTTTAGAATAGAATCTCTGGTGAATACTTTTTCCCACAAAACAAAAACAATGTAAAAAGTTACCATGTACAACAACAATCTTTGACAGTGTTTTCAGCCATAAATTGTGTTAGTTGCTGGGTATGAATTTAGTAAATATGAATGTACTTGGTCAACTGATATGAACACAGGGGGGAGTTTGCACACAACTCCTGAAGGATCTACAAAATTGTATGAGCACAATGCACCCACCCTTTATCTAAGCAGCCCTTGGACTTTCCCTTGCATCTACAATTGTAGTTATTTATTTGTTTGGTTTCCATAATCTGGTTGATATATAACCGATCAATCTGGTTGTAGATTGAACTCTAATGTATTGTTTTAAAATTATTTGGCAAAGAAAAAAAAAATATTGATGATGATGATGCCGCTTCAACAATAAATGTATCTCTTTCGGGAAAACAAAGCCAGTAGTCTCTTAATTGAATGAAAATCGCACGTATTCTTGATTGCCTGTGTTGGTTTTTTGTTTTTTTTAATAAAATATTTAAAATACGAAAATAAATGTCAGAATTCAGAATCCTATTTTATTTAAAAAAAATAAAAATAAATGTAAAAATAAATTAAGAAAATATATATAATTTGCAATCGAAACTAAAATGCTAGTTATAACTAAAATAACGCACAATAATACACGTGGTGAATACTTTTTATACTTTTATTTACTCGGTGTTATAGCTAGAGGAATTTAAATCAACAGTTAAAATATATCCATTAAAACATATAAGAAGCCTAGTAAGATCTGGCTACTTTTAGATTCATAGTAAAATCGTATATTTCTAACCTCGAGTTAGCTACAAACCGTTCAGTAATATAGGCCATGTGTGCACATTGAGATCCAGGTCTTGTCGAGATCACTATTCCACAGAGAGTTATTGTTCAGAATTAGAGTATTCTAATCCGATCCCATATCACTTTTACTGCTTTATGATGGGAGTTTGTACATTAACTTTCCTAAGACTTTGGTAACAGTCTGCCTGCTGACTCCATAGAGCAATAGTGATTGTAGTTGCTCCTGACCCCCTTTGCATTGCACTGTTAAAGGCCGAGGAGGCAGGACAGACACATTTGTGTATTGGGATCATTCAAGGATTTCTTTTTACTGTATTTTGGCAGTAAATCCTATTCAGGGTAAAAAAAAAAGAAAAGAAATAGACACAAAGGGGGAGGCAGAGGATGAGGTGCTTAACGTCTAAGTAAAGGAAGACTCCTTGGGGAGATACAAATTGGAGAACATTGGAGATCAGCTATTTTATCCAAAGCCTGCCCTCACTTCTGGTAGCTCTGTTTTATGGAGAAAATTAGAGTGAGATATGAAACCAGTGTATGCACAAAAGAAAGATTGGGTTTCTAATCCGTCTCAGGATCTCCTGATCCCTCCAGGAATGAGGAGGTGAGGAGACAGAAGAGATTCTCCAATGGAACGCTCGTGGAACTCAGTGGTGGCCCCAACGAGGAGAGGAGAAGGGGACACGTGTTGGAAGTAGTGGGGTGTGCAGGATTTTCCGTTCCACTCTCTCAATCGATTTTCTCCAATATGTCAGCAGGTATTACTGGTGAGTGCAACGACCTCATATCCTTTCCATGATTTATCTCACACTTATGTATCCTCTGTATTCTATAGGGAATGATATAACACCAATACTAAATATAAGGTGACCAAAACTACCGCTTGTTTGGAGCAAGGGAAGGCAAATATTTATTATAAAAAATTGTAGCTTTATTTTTCCACTTTATTTTCTTTTTTTTTCTAGATATTCTCTTATTTCGTTGTTGAACTCAAGAAAAACCCTTAATCCTGATTTATAGAATTATATATCTATATTTATGTATCTATTATCGTTATATATTGAGGGCTGGTTTAACACATGCAGTTTGGTGTTATATGTGTGTGTGTGTGTGTGTTTGTTTTATATATATATATATGCTAAATAAACTTGTCACTCACCTTTTAAGTGTAATATATATATATATATATATATATATATATATATATGAAAATATATACATACTGAAATATATATGCAGCTGTTAAATAAATGAATCAATATATTTATTACATATAACTTATTTATTGGAGAGGAAAACATACAGCATATTAATTAACAGCTGCACAGTTATATATTACTTTGCCGCGATATACCATAGCCATACCATATACCATACTTGAGCTATATTGTTTTCCAAAATCAGTCATTCAGTGGAGAAAAAAGTAGATGCAATTAAATAAGTTTATATGAATATTATTAGCCAAGCACAGAGCACTATACCCACTAAAGAGTGAAAGATGGGGATTTGGCATCTGATTAGAATAACTCAGGCCTAAATTGCCGAATTAGAAAAATAAATCAACTTGGCTAATTGAAAGATCTGTCCCAAGTCGATTATTTTAGCCTTAAGTTTGCAAATTGTTTTCAGCTTACCACTTTCTATGTTATTGAATAACCCCTGCGTATTGATCATGTCCTTTAATGGGGTAGTTGAGGGGTCAATATTGGCAGTAAGCTATTACTGGGAAAACAAAGATGGTCTGGCTCATGTTTTATATCTAAGAAATCATTTCCATAAGAGTGTGAAGTGTGCTTGCTTCTTTGTAGTATGTCTATTAAAAAGGAGAGATAAAATGGATAAAGAGCTCCCTCCCACTAAGAGTGAATACACAAAAGGCGTCTAGTCCTCAATACACATCCAAAGCAAAGATTTGGCTGAAGACACACAGTAACCCTTAGCTTGATACACAGAGGAAACATATCAGTGAATGGCCTGTGTGATTTGCTATCTAGATCTCCAACCTTCCATAGAAATAACACAGTTTACCTGATCACCACCTACTTTTCATTTTACTTTTAAGTTGGCTTGAGAGACCCATATGTATTTTGTATACTTTACTTGTTATCTTTGTTTGTATTGTAGTATTTGTGTAGGATTTTTTAAAGATTGGCTAATTTTGTATCATTGATTATATTTTCAGCTGACATGGAAGAATTTGTATGTGAGGTCATAGCTCAGCGTATTTGGGGGGGGAGGGGGTTAAGGTGGGGGGGGCGGGAGTGGGGGAGGGGGGAAAGGTTAAAGTGGGGGGTGGGGGGCTTGATGGAAAAACCCGGGAGAGGATTCCACCACAAAACACCCACTCCATAATAGGAGTCTATAGTGTTCTGCTAATGCACACCCTGCACTCCTCACATACCTGTTCAAGTGTAGTCAAACTGGATTTTGGATTCTCTAAAAGGCAATTCCAGCAAATCCTCCAAAATAGCCATCAGCTCAGAAGGTAAGTGATAATGGGTGTGGGTAAGGATGGGTGCAGTGGGGGTGGGGAGAAGAATGCATTCCTTCTTTACACATGTACCCTCTCCAAAGGAGTATTTGCATAAAAGTATGATTTTTCTTTTAACAGCTTTACATACTTTAAAAGTAAAACACAAATAGCAGAAACAAGAGGAAAGCGATTTTAGAATACATGTGCCATTGTATAGATCTCAGTGCTAAGATGAATTATTTGTATTGTCTAACGGTATGTATAGGGTGTGTTTGCATCTTTATGAAGCATATTGCTTAATATTTTATTGTTACTTCAAAGTCTCTCCTGTGTAATTTAGTATTGAATATATTATGTACATGTTCAAATAAATTAACTATTATTAAATACAACACACACACACACACACACACTTCTGTCTGTCTATCTGTCTGTCTATCTGTCTGTCTATCTGTCTGTCTATCTAACTATCTATCTAACTATCTATCTAACTATCTAACTATCTATCTATCTATCTATCTATCTATCTATCTATCTATCGCTGATATGATTATGTTGCCATTGTTTAATTTGTATCTACTTACAGATATGTGATTGCTGATCTGAATTAACTATGCAGATATTAAACATTTTGAACAGATGTTCCCCTGCACACTGGAGATCAGACACGTGTCACTCTATTCCCTCAACAGCGAATTGTGAATTAATTTGGAAATTTTAAATGAGAATAGCAGATTAAATATAAACACTGTATAATTGCATATTTCGTCAAATATAGCTATTTTAGCCACGATTTTACAAGTCTGCTCCCAAGTTACTAAAACTCGCTGTTTAGTGGATAAACCTGGGTTTAATTGTTTTAAATAATAACTTCCTTTACAACAACTCAATTAGCAGAAAATGGTGAAAACATTTCCCAGCAATCAATTTTATGAACGATTTTTTATATTAAAAAACACATTTAAACGTTGCAATTTTTATACAATATATGTGAATGTTTTCATTTTAAACTCTAGCTAAAAAAAACATTTCTTTACCTTTAAAAAAAAAAAAAATCAGTATACACAATAGCTTTAATTATTTAACCTTTTGAGTGCTATATTCAGGTTTCTTTGCCCAAATCTCTGACACAAATTTCCAAGTGCACAAGTCTGATCGGAGAGCAGGCTATTTATTAAAGAGATTACCATTATCAGAATGTGTATATGATCATATCAGGGAGCTGCATGTGTGCACATTGTAAAATCCAGGGACTAGCTGATTAAATTATGTGTATACACTTGGTGCCCACTGAAGTGTTGCCGAGATTCTCTTCCTCTGGGTCTCCCTGTCTGCTTTATGCCCCCTGATGCCTCCTCCACATAAATTAGAGCCGTGAACATAGTCTTATTAACATTTCTGACCCAGAAAGAAACAAGACACTCATAGTCAAAATCCCCAATAGATCAGACAAATTAGAGCACTACATTTACAGTGTGACACATGCTAAACACGAACATAGCACAAACACACGTTTAAGAGATTGTTAAATATAGTTATACATATGTAAAGAACATCATTTTGGAAGCATTGATACAAACGCACACACACACTCACACACACAGACACACATAGTGTGTATATTTGTATTTATGTATGTATGTATGTGTATGTGTGTGTGTGTGTGTGTGTGTGTGTGTTTGTGTGTGTATAAATGCTTCCAAAATATATCCTGATAAAGGACATAAAAGCTGAATGTCCAAATTTAATTCCTGTATGAATCCGGTCTCTCGGTTCTATTTATTCTTCATTGACCCTAGCAAGACCTGTGTATCTGCTAGTGGCCATAGGTTCTCTCGTTACAAGGAATTTCACACCAATACAGACTGGCCGTATTAATATCAGCAGTTATTTGTAATTTTATTTATGTAGCACCAACCTATGCCGTAGCGCAGTGCATATCAATAAGAAAATAGCTACAAGAAAAAAATCTTCAAATTCTAGCTGTTGAAAAGTTACAAAATGTTTTTATATACATATACACTTTTTCAGAGTATTGTTATTGTAGTTTATTTATTGTAAATAAATGATATTGGTACACTTCATTTTCTATGATCTCTTTGTTGCAAATTAATTAAGTTCATGAAATAATGTTTCTTTGTTCGTTGCACTTTTTTATTCTTGTTATATTAGCAAATGGGGATTTGCAGCATTT